AGATGCCATATAGATATCTCAACTTGAAACAGTTTGTTGCTGGTACTATATTCCCCACATCTGTCCTACAGAACCCCGCAGAAAATTCTATTATTTATAGTATTACTCAGAGCCAATTAATTTAGCAATACCAGTGACAGGATATTTTTCATCACTGTTCTCAAGAGGAGGAAGCTTCTTAAGAAAAGCAAACTGCTTTATTTCAGAGTTTGAGCAGAAATGCCAGTTCTGTTTTTCCTGTACATTTGAAACACCAGCCATCTGGATTATATAAGTGCCAGTATCAGCATGGGTCTTTTTTTTTTTTTTTTTTTAAAGATACACATACACCAAACAAGTTTCACATGTTTATTAAGCCCCAACAAGCTACTTTCCAGCATGATTGAAAGTGCAATGTGAGGCAAACTTAATTAACATTTCCTGGATGATTAACTGTATCAGTTGTGCGGAGAGCTTCTGGAAGACCTTCAATCTGTGCAGCTTGTAAGGGGAGAATTTGTTCTTTAGAAATCAGGACGATCCTTCTTCAGTTTGCTGTAGTCCACATTGACCGCATAGAACTAAGAGGGACATTGGGGGGGGAGGGGAGGGGAAAAAAAAGAGGGTTTGAGCAGAACAAGATCGAAGTCTGTACATATGTGAGGGGAGAACACTACTTTCACACTAACACTACCGTTATTGCTATATATATGCCACTTGGTTTTCTTCCAGAGACATTAGTCAAATGCAGTTTTATTATAGCACTAGAACTGCTTATTTTTTAAAAAATACACTTCTAGGTTAAGTTCTGATAGTACATACTTTCTAGCATATGCTACAAGAATCCTGTTACAGCAAGTCTGAAAGACACAGCTACACCGCAGCATTTAACTAAATCATTTTCTAGCTGTTTCCCTTCAAGAACTCTCAACTTCCTTATCTTTCCCAGGTAATATTAATATACAGAATTTGGAGAGGAGATGGTGTTTGCACCTCCGCTTTTTTAACATCACATTATGAAGAACTAACAGTTTGGCCAAGTTCTCTTTGAGAAAACAGGGTGTGTCTTTTCTCATCCAGTAATGTTTGAGTAAGTTATTATGGCTAGTGCCATACTGGTTCCAAAGTGGCCCCACATGATGTTTCAATACCAGTTGAAAGTGATGATTTAAACCAAAATTAGAGGATTCCATACACTTCAACACCAGCTACTTAATGCCATCAAATTTAGATTAATAAAACCTAATGAGTAATACATGTAGGAATACAGTACGAGTTTAAATCGATGTATTCAGTGTCCGGTTGAATTTGTAATAAGTGTCTACACTGCCTAGCCACTCCCATTGATCTAAATGGTTTTAAAATTGACTCCTATATGCCACCTGAATGAATGGAGTAAACCTTGAGGTGACAGTCAAACCTAAAATTAAGGGCAGTTATAAACACCATTGTAATTTGGAGTTACTACTCCATTTTGAAAGCTCTGGCACCCACTTTGAACTCCAGTAATCTTCAGTCAGGTGAGTAGGAAAAGCCCCAGGAACTTCTGAATGTTCATTTCCCATTGCAGCAATTCAAAGTTGAGCATACATGCTCAGGGATCAAGCACCTCTAACACAGAATGTTCAGAAGACAGGATCTGATTGCTGGGGGTGGAGAAACCTCACACAGCAATGCTACATGAAAACAAAGGGGCTTAGACAAGCACATCACAGGACATTGCTAGTTCTGAACCACAGACATGGGAGGCTGACCACATGCACCCATAGCCACCCGCAACAATGTTCCCCCCCACCCATGAGGCACTGGGACCCTATCCCAGAATTCCAGTCTGCTGCAGGAACTGCGGGACAGCTGCCACAGTATCACTCCTTGAGTTGATGCAATTCAAGGAGCACATCCTGGAAGCAAGGATGTGCTCTGTCAACCACATCCACCAAGTGGGGACATGCAAAAAATTGCATGTATCAAATTGGTCACTCCAAGTCAAATTAAATAAAATGTACCTAATTTTAAAGCAGTTAGGGATTGGCAACCAGTACAGAGGCCCTCAAAAAAAATTAAGACAAAAATCCCTCATTATCTAGGAGAAAAAAAAATGAAGGGTAAGACTGAACAACTTTATGTGCAATATCTGGGATATTAAATATCATTTAATCAATCAAGTAACCTCATGAATTCTTAGCAGTTAGTTGACCATTCTATAGTCCCCAGGGATAGGACTGGCAGCCAGCATGCTCCAGCCTCATTCCAGAGGAGCCCCCTGAATTGCTGCCTCTGACTGCTGGTCCACGAGGAGATCCAGTTTGAAAATCAGCTCCCAGACTCTGATAAAGCAGCAGCAGCGCAGGGTGGCAGCAGCTCCTGTACAGAAGGGAAGGAGGGTCTGAGCTCTCAGACCCAGTGCAAGCTGGAACTTAGTGGGCTGCCTGCCCGTCCGGCTCCTAATGCACTTTAAATACAGAGCCGCAGCAGGAGTAGGTCCCAGTCCTGTCACAAGCCAGGAGTGAGCTGCGCTGCTGGCTAGCCTGCTAAAAAGTTTACTAGCGGGGGAGAGGGAATCCATGTAGTCTATAGCATTAACCTAAAAGCTTTTGCTTATCACTTAATTGACTACACTATTACATCCCTAGTTCATATACCAGGTATTAGTAATAAGGAAAGCTGGGAACATGCATAAAGTGGGCAAAAACATTTTAGGACAGTGTTAGTAAAAAGATGCAAGGCTAACCAAGTTCAAAGACTGTGGCTCAGATTGCCATTTGGACCAGTGCTAAAATAAATGGCACTGCAGTAAAGAATAGACAAGAAAGAAGGTACAATTTTGGTTATAGACCAAGTCTCTCATCTTACATTAGGAGCTTAGAAAAAGCATGACAATGATATGAGTCAACACTGAAGTAGTGGCCAAATAGTAACTTGGGCATATTTTAGCATTTAAGATTGAATTAGACATTAGACTTCATGACAACAGGTCTAGCCGTAACCATTACAACTAAAATATATTCATTATACCACCATGTGAAAAGACATAACTTTGAAACTCAACAAGTAGTTTTCCAGGCCTCTTTACCCAAAAGCAAGATTATGAAGACATTTGAGTGATTCAGCTCTAGGTTACAAAAAAACTGAAGAAAAAAAATCACAACAAAAATCACAAGTATATTAGCAGAACTCCAGGCAGAATACACAGAAATATTAAAAAAAGGTAAAATATGATAGGGAAATAGCCCTTACTAAAGTTCCAAGGAAAAGATTGGAATAATTAAAAAAAAATTACATTTACCATAGTATACTTCAGTTCTCTTATAGGAGTCCTGACTCACCAAGCTGTTCTGTGTAGGCAAGCCTGTGTAGCCTCCCTCATACTTGATCTTTGTTCCATCTGAAAATTATTTCTCATTTCCTCAAGATTGTCACTTCCTAGCTTCTTTATACATTAGACCTGTCTGTTAATAATATTCAGTTTCTCCTGCCACTGCTATCTACTGTGTCCATACTTATATACTGAGGGTGTCTAAACTACAGGGTTTTTTTGAAAAAAAAAGTAGCCTTTTTTCAAAAACAAAAAACCCTTCCCCTGTGTCTAGACTGCTGCCGTGTTCTTTTGAAAGTAAATCGAAAGAACACGGCAGTTTTTTCTACTGCAGAAAAACCTCGTTTTACAAGGAATAACGCTTTTCAAACGTGCTCTTTTGAAAAAAATGCACTATATAATGCGAACTGTGCTTTTTCGAAAGTACTGGTTGTATTCTAGATGTTCTTTTTCAAAAGAGGCTTTTTCGAAAGTATCTTTCTAAAAAGCCTCTTTCGAAAGAGGCTTGCAGTTTAGACGTAGCCTGAAATATTTGTTCCTAAATAGCTTTTAAAAGTTCTTAATACTTTCACTTAAAATATCTTATGTACAAAAAAAATAGTGTAAAATAGTGACTTCATAGGTTCAGGGATATATCCAATTCACATCAGTTTGGGTTACCAGGACTTCAACTTATATACTTGCACAGCTAAAACACAAAGGTTCACTTGAGCTGTGAAATGAAATGTGTACTTGCACATAGATCTTAGCTTGAACTCTGCAACTAGAATTTAAATCAGTGGAACCAGTTTTGAAATTCATATTGTAAAATAAGTCATCTTTGGTCAAACCAAATACTTCCTGGGTTTGGTCAAGTTCTGAGCAACTAGAATGAGGTTTTTACGCAGTCTTAACACCTTCATTCTCACTACATGCTTCCATCTTACTCCCACTATAATCCTGAGAATCTGCATCTCTTAAGGAAAGAGTTGATTTTCTTAACAAGTCTTCCCAGAGATGTTTAAAAAATAAACTACTTTATTTATTAGAATTATATGCCATCAGCCACTGTGTCTATAATTTGCATCTACTTTAGTTTCCACAACACAAGGAGCTGTTTTAGTAATATTGCCAAGAAAAAATGAGAACGACACACATTACCAAATATGGTAAACCTTGAGACTTCTGTAGTGTTCCCAGCCTCTACTAATACAAAAGCAGAATTTGCCGTTATTCAGAAAAGAACCAACCTAAAGCACACGGAGACACTTCTTTTGCAGCCCATGGCAAAACTAGCCTATATAAAAGACCCAGAATCTCACATATGTATCTTATTTGTCTCTACTAAATTGCCCTTCTCTTTACAATACCTACTTTAATTAAATTAAGAACAAACAAGCGAGGACTGCAGCAAGAGAGGTTCAGCAACATTGTACAATCTCAACAGTATACACTTCAATTTTCACAAAATACGAGGGTCTTTGTTTTAGCAGATGATTTTTAGAATCAAACGATGGAACCCATAGTACAGTACTAAATCATAAAAAGACTATAGTTGTCCAAGTCCACTGATTTTTTTTTTTTTTGGTTTATTCACAAACTTGTATGTAAATACACCACTCTCTGCAAGTTATAGTAAACCCTGCTACTTACTTGATCATGATAGAAGCATAAAAAATTTAAGACTTTTGCAGTAGCATTGAAGTCAAAATTGTTCGATTCCAAAACTGACTTTAGCATAACATCTATTATGCATGGTCTTCAGCCCAAGGCTTAGAACAAGGGTGGGCAAGATACCTCTTGCGGGCTGGATGCAGACCACCAAGCCACCAAATCTGGTTCATGGACACCCCTCCTGAGACCCTCAGGCATATAGCAGTCACTATTTTAAATGCAGGGCTGCTCCATGTGACTATTCTGGAGGGAGGAGGCGGCTTAGGGTGATCTTCCCTCCACCAGACCAATCCTCAGCTCCTATTGGTCAGAAACAGCCAGCCAACAGGAGCTGAGAGATTGTCTGAGAGATGGGGGCAGTGCAAGCTTCTCCCCCCTCCCGGAGTTGAGAGCCACATGGAGGGAGCAGGCTGCATTTTTAATGTTCTGGGGCTGTAGCAGGCAGGGAGCCCAGCCTGCCTTGGGGGTGCTGCAGGGCTGCTGGCTAGGAGATGTTTAGGTAAGTGTCTTCCAGCCAAAGCCTGCCTCTGGCACCCCAACTCCCTTCACCAAGTCACCTTCCAAATGCTCTTCCCCCCCCACCAAGTCATAAGTTCCCCCCAGACCCTGAACCCTTTCCTGCACCCTTCCCCAAGGTCAGAATCCTCTCCTGCACCCCCACCTCCCTTTCTGATCCTACAACCCAATCGCTTGAACCAGATCACAATCCCCTCCTTCACCCAAACTTCCTCTCCAACCTCACAGTCTCTTGCATTCCAGTCCCTTACTCTATGCACCCAACCTCCATCCTAGACCTCACACCTCTTTTTCCATCTTTTTCTTAGATACTTGAGAACTGCTATCATGTCCCCTCTCAGTTTTCTCTTTTCTAAACTAAATTAGCTCAGGTCTTTCAGTCTTCCCTCATAGGTTATGTATTCTAGACCTTTAATCATTTTTGTTGCTTCTCTCTGGACTTTCTCCACACCTTTCTTGAAATGTGGCGCTCAGAACTGGACACTATTCCAACTGAAGCCTAATCAGGGCAGAGTAGAGCGGAAAAATTACTTATTGGGTCTTGCTCACAACACTCCTGTGAATGCATCCCAGAATCAGGTTTCCTTTTTTTTCCTTTTTTTTGGCAACTCCATCACATTGCTGGCTCATATTTAGTTTGTGGTCCACTATGACCCCTAGATCTCGTGCCCTCCTCTAAGCTATTTAAGCTTGTGTCCTCCTCCCTCCTCTATTTAAGACTAACTACTGAGTAACATTTTTCCTTGTTGCTCTGTATCAAGTATTTATTTTCTGCTTTATTTTTTTCATTCAATGCTTTGCCTTGGGTAATGAGACTTCTCTCACCTCACTGGGCATTGCCTCCAAGAAAAGGTAAAGTCTAAACAGGCAGTCTCATTTTAATATTCAAATCTAGCCCTGCCTTTCAAATCAACACACTGCTAGTTCCCAAAATCAAACCTGGCTGGAAAACTGATAGCAGAGAAGCATATTAAGTTGTCACTGCTACACCTCTCACTACTATCTCAGGGACCTGACCCTCCAAAAATAGTCAGACCACAGGCAACATCTGTGGATAAGTCAATGCTCTAATAGCTAAACGCCTTGCTGCCTCTTACCTTGTACTGATCAGTGGGAGCCAACTTATTCCAAGGCTCAGGGTTATTCTTTTTGTCCCAACTACAAAGAGAAACACAATAACGTAAGAAGATACGAATCACACTGCTTTTAACCTACATTGTATATGCAGAACTGATGTTTAATTACTTAAAGAACATGAATCACTGTCGGTCCTGACAAATTTCCACATAAGAAAACCAGTAATACTGTGGTCAGTCTCTAAAATTTACTTCAAAACAGAGAGAGAGAGAGAGAGAGAGAGAGAATTTACTGCCTACCTGACATCAGGGTTGAACATTGCCAAGCGCATAATGTACAGGGCTGCACCAGAACCTCCAGCTCCAATAAAAATAAAGAGAGGGATCAACTAGAATGAAACATTTGGAAATGGAAAGATAAACATAAAGATAACACCATCTAGAAAGCAAAGCTAGAAATGATAAAGTCTCACCCAGTGATTACACATTTGGCACACTAGTTCTGAGCCATGGAAGGATGCACTCTTACGTAGTTTAAGTGCTTAGTTGTAAAAGACCTAACAGGTCTGCAGGATGCTCCAATGCTAGGAGATCCTACTCACCCGGAAAAAATGGGGAATAGTTGGGTGCCACTACCAAGTGCCCCACAGTGCCCAGAAGAAGAGGGAAGAAATTAACTCTCCGACTGTGGAGGGTAAATTACATCACTGGCACCTGCGACAGACACTCTGGGTCACAAGAGCCAAGAAACCAAGTGAGTCACTTGGTTACCACGACTAAGCTCGGAAAGGACCCTCGCTGAGGCCTGGATCTCTCAGCTGATCTCACGGGTACATGCCAGGCTTCTTCGGAGGAACGGGGCCCACGGCCTCGCCCGGCACACACGGGCCTCCGTTAGTGGCTGTCACAAGGTGGAGCTAGCCCGGGTGCGAGGCGCCCCACGGAGCCAGGGGGGAAGCGGGAACCGGCGCGGGGGGCTCGCTCGGAAAGGACCCTCGCTGAGGCCTGGATCTCTCAGCTGATCTCACGGGTACATGCCAGGCTTCTTCGGAGGAACGGGGCCCACGGCCTCGCCCGGCACACACGGGCCTCCGTTAGTGGCTGTCACAAGGTGGAGCTAGCCCGGGTGCGAGGCGCCCCACGGAGCCAGGGGGGAAGCGGGAACCGGCGCGGGGGGCTCGTTCTCCCCCCGCGCCCGGCTCCGGGACGCACGCTCGGATGCTTCTTGGCCTGGCTGATCATGAGGCGGAACATGGTGGCCGCAAGCCCCAGACTCAGCGTCTCAGTAAATGCTGCTCTCGGCGTGTCTAGCTCGCTGCTGCGGCCCAATGTCATTCAAGGACCCTGCGTTGCAAGGGCCGGAGATAACCACCCAGACGGGGCTGCCTTGGTGGCTGCCTGCGCTCACTTTGTCGCCGTGAGACTGGCCCGGCCTCAGCCGCCGAACAAACAGATCCTGAAGAGACCTTCGTATGGAGTCAGCTACGCCTCCCCCCTTCGACCTCCTATCCCCGGGACTTGTGCCCCCAAATCAGAAAACAGGCATCTACCTAGACACCTAGACAGTGGGAGTGGGGGGGACGAAGGAGACTTGGAAGGGCGCGTTGCGCATGCGCCAACTGAATACCTCTGCAGCCGTAGGAAGGGGGGGGAAGAGGGAGAGGGGTGACGTGACTCCGCCTCTGCAGCAGGTGCCGTGGGGCTGGGGCGCGTGAAAATCGTTTCCTCGGGACCTGGCGTTCTAAAGATAGCCCTACAGCGGCTGCGCGTGGCGCCTGTCACTGCGTCTCCTGGAGCCTGCTGCTGGAAGGGCGCCTGGGCACGTGTCCCAGGCAGCTTTGCCAACATCCGCCATTACAAGGGCCTCCTCCCCCTCTGCCCCCAGGAGACTGGCTTTTTACAAACCAAATGCTTTCCAAGAGTTTTCAGTTCTGGGCACAGCCTCCTAGCACAAGGGAGCCAAGTGGCCGAAGGACTCCTGGATGCCGGGCGAACACTAATACTTAACCAATAAAGCTTTCTTATTGGCCTTCTGGGTTTGGAGCCTTTAGTGTAGGATTGATGGGGATGTTACAAACCATGTTTTGGGGTAACTGGTTATCAGGTTACCCATCCTGAGGGCTCTGCAGTATAAAGCTATGGTTAACTAGGTAACCAATTAAATAGGATTTTACATCCCTAATGTCTACAGAGACCAGTCTAAGCAGCTGTCTCAGATGCTTGGACTCTGGGCTGAAGAATTGCTGCATAAACATGCTAAAGATCCCAAAGCTTGGGCTCTGAGGGTACGTCTAGACTACAGGCTTTTGTCTACAGATACTGTCGACAAAACTTCTGTCGACAAAGAGCATCTACACTACATTCAGTTCTGTCGACAAAGCAAGCTGCTTTGTCGACATGGTAGTGTAGACACAAAGGACAGTTTACATGCAATAACACTTTCTGTCGACAGAAAGTCTGTCGACAGAAGGTGTTATGTCTCGTAAAATGAGGTTTACCAGCGTCGACAAAACGGCTGAGTTCTGTCGACGTTATGTCGACAGAACTCAGTGGTAGTGTAGATGCAGGTATAGTTTTGTCGACAAAAGTCCACTTTTGTCAACAAAACTCTGTAGCCTAGACACACCCTAAGTTAAAGCCCAACTATCCCCACACAGCAATTTTTTTCAGTCTGAAGCCTGACCCAAGCCAATCATGTATATTTTATTCCTGTGTAGACATACTCAATAAGACCAGTTGCATGTGGTCAGTATGCTACTAGCTGAAGACAGACACGGTTCTATTAGGATAGGAGCAAGATAACATTTAAATATTTTCTTAAACTAAGTTAAGCCTCACAAATCTCTCAGGCCTTGTCTCCACGTACCAGAGGACTGATGCTCCATTGATCCTCCAGGGTTCGAGTTAGCAGGTCTGGTAAAGACCACTTAGGTTGAACACAAAGGGTGACCCTGTCAGCTCTGGTACTCTTTGCTGTTGCAAGAAGTAAAGGAAGTCAATGGAAGTGTGGGGCCACTTCAGAAAATCGATGCAAAATACATTGACTTCCTCTGTGCAATAGCTGGAGTTGCATATCTTGCATTGATTTTCTCTGCCAATGTAGACCTGTCTTTAGTTTCTTGAAATGGTAGGACTTCATTTATGTCCTTCAGCAATCACACTCAGTGTAATACGCTACTCAAGAGTCTTATGATAGTTGTAAGTTAAATGCTGTGCATTTGTTACTGCTGTACAAGCTGTATATAGATTATCTGTATTTATTTATAACAGTGATACGATTATATTGATCTTACTTGAAGCTTAGTTTCCTATTATGCGAGTAGTTAGTATAAATCCATACTGCTACAGAGAGTAAATGCTAACTTAATCCAGTGATTTGTATAGTAGTTTATATTCAGACTGAGTTCCTTAGAGTTAAGGATCTTTGTGGACATTCTTGTCAGTTCCATTTAACACTTTAGTGAGGCTAGGCCCTTTCTTTTACCCTGAGTAAAGTTAGTGTTTTGTTTGTTGACATCACTGAATCCATACAACCCTCTGCTTTATTTTCTTCTGTTCTCCATGCCTTTTCTTGTCTGTTTCTCTGTTCTTCTCCCTTAATTGCTAGAATTTTTCTTTTATGCCCAGGCCCATTTGATTTTTCATTTGTTTGTTATTTCCTAAAACTATATTTCTCCTCTCATGCTTTCCTGTTTCTACTGTCTTTTTCTCAAGCCTCCCCACTATGAATCACATAAGTGCCAATTTCTACAAAGTTGAACATCAATCATAATGTGTTTAAATGTTATTTTCCATTAAAAAGATGAAATTGCAACTACTAAAACAAGCTACATACACATTTGATAGGATCAGTCATTTTCTCCCCTACAAAAACATAATTCCAACCACTTTCAAAGCTGGAGATTTAAGGCAATCAACATGTTCTATAACAGGAAGGAATTAAAATGTTAGACATGGAGAAATTCCAGTTGTTTCTAGAAAAAATTAAATGCATTTATTCATCTTGTATTAGATGTCCATAATCATGGACATGTTTCTGTTAGAGTGATGCATAAGATGGAGAGTTTCTAGGATACAACATGCTGGGCTGAACAGTAGAAATTGAGAAAATATTTCTAGGTGAGAAAATCTAGATATCATTAAATAGAAGCCAAATCATTTCATAGCTTTGGAAAAGTACACAGACGCAAACCGTAAAAGTCATGCTACAAATTCACAAATTCTGTGTATTGTGAGAGTTTTTCAAAAGGCTGTTTAAAAGACAGATAAATCTAATATTTGAAAAAAAGATTCTTACAGAAGAACCTGAGTTATATGAGCACTTCAGGAATGGAGGTTGTTTGTGATGAACCAGAGGTTCGAGGATTGTCTAGGGGTGGTTTTTTGTGGCAAGGGACTGGGGCTGAGAAGGAGGAAGGCCCAGGACTTAAATGCACTTAACCAATTACAAACATTATTAACTACAATTTAATTATATTAAATCACTGTCTCTGATTCGTCTTAGACAGCGCAGCATGCAAAAAAAGAATATAAGAAATAAAACCAATACAGCAATAATAAAAACTCCTCCTGTAGCCAATCCTTCTATGGTTATCTTTGAATACTGGTGGAGTTAGTCATTAATCTACATATACTTAACAACCTCTAAATATGAAATGGTTAATACAATATAGTAAGCAATACTCAAAGCCCAGAAACGATTACGATGCACAGACACAAAATAACGCGTAGCATGCTCCGGATTCGTACACCCTTTCGTGATTCGGTGGGTGGGAGGTGGCCTTGGGTGATCAACCCCTCAGCCAGGCTGGACGATACGTGCCTTCTATTTTTTTATACGGAACCTCCTCGAGCTTAGGGCTCGGGGTGCTTTATTCTATAATTTTGACATCCGGTGCCATATTAGGGTTCAGCTTTAGTTGATACTATGATTTGACATCCGGTACCATATTAGGGTTCCTTCCTGTGGTCAGTGCCTGATGCAGACATGACTGGCACATGTGAAAGCTAGCTATGTTTTTTCTTTCCCTGTTCCAGGTGCTTGTTAACTGGTGTATTATGACAGCTCATTTCCCTTATTCCTATCTTGTCCTGTTTTTAGTGCTCGTTAACCTAATTTTTTTCCCTATTCTTATCTTCCTGGCCCGGGTGCTTGCCAAGTCCAGTTCCGTTTACTGAGAACTGTGCTGAGCACCCAAGGGAATTCAAGCTCTGTCTCTGGATCCGCCTCAGTGGCCTGTGTTTTTCTTGTAAGGGGCTTTTGTGTGGCAGTATGGGCAATACGCGCGAGGCCGTGGTCAAAAGGACCTGCTACACAACAGCTTGTAATTGATCAAAACATTATTGTTCTTTCAAAAATGTACAGCTTTGAAACATTGCCATGACTAAGAAAAATGCTATTTTCCTCTTTTTTTAGTAGTTTATATTTAACACAGTGTGGTACTATTGGGGAGATGTTTATTTTTGTCTCTGCTACTGCCTGATTGTGTACTTCTGGTTCTACATGAAGTGTGTGTTTAATAGTCTGTTCGTAACTCTGGGGGGTTGTAATTGAGGTTCTGCTGTAATGTTCTTATCTTGCAAAAGATAATTGAATATTGGTGACTTCATAGCAGAATTTTCAGGAGCCTTTTTGACCCATCACTAGTTTTGAAACATTCAGCAACTGACCTCAGAGTAATTTGCCTATCCTCTTTTTACTTGTATCCACCTACTATGATGACCCACCATTAGAGGAGCTGACAGCCCTGGGCAAAGAAAGGATGGGATCAAGGGTGGAAGGGGCAGGATTGATGGTAGCCAGTTCTCAGTGCTTCCTGGACCATGGCACATCCCCCAGCGCTGCGTGGAGCATGGTCTTCTGTCTCCCCAGGCAGCCCTAAGAGCCACTTAGGCAGCACTCTGGGGGTGATTTAGAGATGTCAGGGCTAAGGATGTGAAAGCCAGCTCCCGGCACACATCGGCTCCCAGGGAGCTGCCTGCTGCCCCTTGCTGCTGCCTCTGATACAGAGGCAGCAACACGGAGTGGTAGGTGGGTGCTGACTCCCACCCTGTGTGTAACTGTAGCCACTGAAATTTTCCAGTGGTTACATGATTATTTAATTACACACATTTTAACATCCTTAGTCAGGGCTCTGGATGCTGCTGCTGCTACAGCAATAACAGCTGGAACCTCTCTAGCTCCTTTGAATCACTGGGCCTCAGAGCAGTATTCCCCTTTGACTCCCCCTGTTGGTAGGCCTGCTCCCTTCCAGGATAGA